GTTGGGTTCGTATTGATACGGCATCGTTTGCCAAGGTTCGTTGATGTTTAGACTCCACGGAGACCGATTCCTCCAGCTTACGGCAAAAGCGTTGGGCAGGAAAGCCTAACGCGTCCGAGTTAACTCACCTTCGTCTTCCTCAGAATAACATCAAGATCCTTGAAAACGAACAATCCTCCGTGATTCGATCTCTGTAAGTCACCGATATCCTATTCAATTCCTTCACTTGTATCAATATTCGCATTTGTTTCAGTCTGAAACTTCTTAATCATTAGATCCAATCAAATCTGTTATCTAATCACGAAGTTTTCGTGACTGGTAAGAGATTAGGATTTGTGTTTTGTCTATTTTGGTGAAAAAAATAATATCCTCTGTAATGGTGAAAGACTGAAAGGTAATTTCTGAATTGTGGTTTGTTTTGAGCCTTTGGACAAAAGAGGCTGCTGTTTTCCGTCAAGCCAGAATAATCCGGCTGCTGTTTTCCGTCAAGCCAGAATAATCCGGCAGCTGATTCTATTCATCCAACCGGAAATGTTGATTTTTTTTTTTTTTGGCTTGAAAAAAAAATTGTTAATTCTTATCTCTGCAATGGCATCTTAGTTGGAACGTTAATTTATTTGAGAATGTGGTTTAATTTTGTACAGATTTTCGAGAGCTTAATTGTTTGTTTCCCAATATCATTTTACAAGACCATGAGTTTCGTGTTCCGAGGGAATAGAACAGATATAGAGGGTGGATTTTCAGGATTTACTCCTGGGAGACGTGCATTGGTATGTTACTAGTAGTTAAATCATTATCACATTCAGTTTTTCATCATAAGATTTTCTAAATTATATGTTTTGATATATGTTTACTGTCTATCAGCGCGTCCATGGTGCACGGCCTGTTAATTCCAACTCTCTTGCTTTCCTTGTTACAGGTACTTACATCACTCTTTTTTATATATTTTTGTGCTTTATATTCTGACCAAAGTCTTGCTTGTTTGATGCAATAGTACTTTTGCTGTTCATGATATTAAACTCACACCAGATGTCACCTAATTTTCTGGTATTTTCTTTCTCTTTGAGTATTTCATGTCATGGAGTTTTTGGTTTATAGTGCTATTGGACTGTGATTTGTTAATGAGGAATGTAACAGGCCCTCATGTTAATATGTCTTTAGATTTGGTTGGTGTTTGGTGTCTTTTTTATGGCAACTTCCTTACGGATGTATGCCACCTGCCAACAACTCCAAGCTCAGGCTCATGCTCATGCTGCGGCAGCCAGTGCCCTTCTAGGCCACACTGAGTTACGGTTGAACATGCCACCATCCATTGCATTTGCAACCAGAGGACGCCTACAAGGACTTAGACTGCAACTTGCACTTCTTGACCATGAGTTTGATGACCTAGGTATGGCACTTATACAGTTGGGCTCTGTCATAGGTTTGTAAGGTTGATGCTTAAATAACCTGTGTTGTAAATTTGATATCCTAAGATACATGTTCTTTTGTGCTTTATTTTTTATTCAATTTCTTGTTTTGTATTTAATTTGGGAAGTGTTTGTTATCTGTTCCTAGATTATGATACTTTAAGAGCACTTGATGCCGACAATGTTCCTACAGATTCAATGAGTGAGGAAGAGATAAATGCCCTTCCAGTTCACAAGTACAAGGTTTCTGCCCCTCAAAGGTTAATGTCTTCTTTTTTTTTTTTAATTTTAGTTTATGGTTAGTGCATTTACTTCAATTTTTGAATCTTATTCTCTATAAATTTTGGAACTGTTCACTTGGACCACTTTTCATTATATGGTCACACTTTGGCTTGTAATTTTATCCATATAGTTGCATTCAAAGGCCACAAATTTTTTTCTGACCAGTCTAATGAAAAAAAAAAAAAAAGAGTGAATCTCCTCTCTGTTCTTAAATTTATCTGGGTTATTATTCTTTATTGTAATTGTAATTTCCTCTGTAATTGCCTCCTCACTATTTTTAGGTGTCTAATCTTTGGGTTATTTCAAACATTACTTTTATATCTCAAAGTGAATTTATGTGCTGAATGTTTGACATGAATTTGGTTTTGGTGACAGCAGTGACTCTTCAATGCAACAGGCCTCTTCTTCAGCATCACCTCAGGTATCCCTCCCTTCATATTACGTGGCAAACCTAAGCCTTATTGTTTATGTTCGTAATTTGGTAACTTAATCTCTCCTGCAGACGAAGCAGAACCACAGTAATACAGTGGAGAGCATGAAAGGTTCAGAGGATGAATTAACTTGCAGTGTTTGCTTGGAGCAAGTTAATGTTGGGGACCTTGTCCGTAGTTTGCCGTGCTTGCATCAGGTTAGCCTCTTATTGCAGTGGCTTTAGGTTTTTAGAATTATCTTAAATATTAGGAGAATTCACAGTTTGAAATTTAAGCAATGACGATATATTTCTTCCAGTTCCATGCTAATTGCATTGACCCGTGGTTGCGGCAACAAGGGACATGCCCTGTTTGTAAATTCAGAGCTGGATCCGTTTGGCACGAATCTGCGCAGAATGGAACGGATGCTTCATACATGGTTTAATTCTTTTTAATAAGCAGGTTTATCAATGTATCTAAATAATCTGTCTGCATGTATACAAGGCCATGGATCTACATGAAACATCTTGTTGATTAACTTATTTCCGGCAATGGTTTCATCATCCAATGGTCGGAATTCATGTAATCACATAGTATAGTTGTGTTACTGAAGTTTCAACTGAAAATCACGTCTCATTTTATCCTGTTACTGTAACCAAGGTGGGGTGATCAATAGGACTTGATCGGATCTAGCTCTTTCCTCAGGGACTACCAAGAGCATGTACAATGGGAGTTCTCTCCCTGTGTTCTTTCTCAAATGAAAAGAGAGACAGAAACTCCACCCCTATTGCAGGGAGTAAACACATGTCAAGTGGCTTAAAATCAGAAGGCCAACAGCCTTCTCTTGTTTTTTCACTCAAATTTTGTTTTATTAAATATATAAAATATGAGTTAAATAAAATGATATTAGTGTAACTTTTGAGAAATACCTATTTAAATACATGTATTAGGGAGTTTGATTTGGATTTTTTTAAAAACATTCATGAAAACTTGTTTTATTTAATCAGCAACGATTTACATTAGTACGCAAAAAGATTTCATAGCATTGTAGGTGGATTCATAGCCTAGTGGGAAGGGCACATATCTTTAAGACACTGTTTGGCCACCCAATCAGGTGCAGAGTTAGCCATCCTACACACATGGTTAAATTCATAAAGACAAAAACCCTTGCGCAACTCCCTTATGGATAGCACCAAAGGTTCAATTTGCCAAGGCAAAGAAACCTTTTTGTTAACTACTTCAATAAGTTCCTTGCTATCAGATTCAAAAACGATTTCTTTTAGGCCATTTCTAGCTGCACAACCTATATCAGCTTGCACTGGTGGAATGAGAGGGTCTTTACCATTTACTCTACAAAACGTAGCTGCTAGAAACATGGCTTTTTGAACTACCATTTGTGGTTGCAATGTGTGGCCTTGAAACATACCTATGTTCCTATTTTTCCAAATGTACCAAAACAAACAAGCAATTTCTTCCATTATATTTAGATAAACCTTATGCCACTGAGTAGAAACAAGACTCCACGAATTAACCATCTCATTAGAAATAGATGAACTAGAAGGATGAAAGGTTATTCAAGAGATGAACCAAGTTCGAGCAGCATATTGACAAGTGAACAGCATATGGATGACTCATCATCCCCACCACAAAGACCACAGATAGGACTCTCCACCACACCCTTATGAATAAGATTTGCCTTAACAAGCAAAGCATTAGTTATAACTTTCCATGAGAAAACTTTTACTTTGGGGGATCATTCAACTTCCATACTAATTTGTAAAAGCATTCGAGAGTTTGATTGAGAGTTAAATGTGTAAAAATATGAATTTATATAAAATAATATTAATTGTGATAACATAATATTAACAAGAGTTTTTTATTTTACAATTTAAATTGTGTTAAACTGTAAAATAAAAATAATTTGATGAAAGAGATAATTCCCAATATTAGGTAATTCACTCATATTCGATAGTTAAAATTATGTAATTCAAAATAGTTTAGATTGTTTCAAACTACTAATATTAAAAATCTTCAATATTAAGTAATTCACCCCTATTTAATAATTAAAATTATGTAATTTAAAATAATTTAAACTGTTACAAACTACTGATACTAAAAGAGGGCTCTGCCATTCATTGTACGTGCTTTAAGTCTAGCAATGTTTCCTGGCCAGCAGGATAGTAGCTCCACCTCAAAATTAAGGTTTGCAATGCGGCAAATACATAAATATACATGTGTAGATTAATCAGGAGAGAACCGCTACATGATGGAAGCAGTCAATTTCAGCCCCATCTTTTTGTGGGAAGACATGGTCCACGAGCACTTGGCACTTGCACTGCCTGCGGTAGAGGTGGAAGTGCTTGCAGTGGAACTGGGCAATCGGTTTTTGGATTTTTACATGTGCAAGCTGCGAAGGATAGGCCTGGTCCAGTTATCTAGTAAGCCGGTAGGCCTGTTGATCCATACTCAATAACAGCAGCTACTCCAAAGCAGCAAAGCCCCTGCTGCTAGCCCCGATGATCGATATTCCAACAACAGTCACTTTGTTGGTAAGTTCATCTTAATAAAGGTTTTTTTCGATAATTACAGTGTTTAGGGGTCAGATTTTGCATATTTTATAGTTAATTTTTTAAAATAATTTTAAGAGTACATTTTTTTACATTAGTATCTAAATAAATTATTTTTTTAAAATATTAATTTTAAGATTTAAATTTAAAACTCAACTTATAAAATAATATTTATTTGACAATAAATTTAACTTTTAAAGTGTGAAAATTAAACCATGTGATCGATTCAAAACTCATACTGAGTTTACACATAAAGAGGCGTGTTGAGTAAAAAAATTTTACATTGATAGATTGACTAATTTTAAATTAAATATAAATTTTGTATTTAAAATCACATTTATAATTCTTACATAAAATTTTCACATAAGGTTAAAGTAGTCTTTTTTCCAAATTTGAGAGAATCATGCGACTGCATTCAAGGTATACATGAACAGTGCACCAAACTCAACCACTAACTAGTGAATTGATACCGTTAACAGACTTTCACGTAAATGTTAAGACCATTTTTTCGTGTAAAAGGTTGGTGGCATATCCATGTGCAATACACTACTTTTAATTTACGTGGTCCAAACATGACATGTTCTTGTTCACGTTCAATTTAAGGCAGTCCAAATTGAATGTTGCAATAGTGTGCATAATTAAAATAATCATGGCTACGAAATTGGCTATGTCCCTTGGTTAGGGGTCGGGGCCCTTCTCCTCCAGGACTTGCCCCACAGCTAGACCTTCATTCGGTTAAAATCAACTTTTTGTTGATTTGAGTGGGAAGAATTTTATTTTTTTTAAATAAAATTTTAAATTTGAGTTTTATGAATGAAAAGATAAACATTAGTAGAGTTTTCTCCAGATGAAGTTCGACATAACTCGATTCTAAATTATTTAGAATCTAATGTGATAATCGAATACTAAAAGATTAATACCAAAAATAAAAAATCTTCCGGTCAAAATCCCCACCGAACCAGCCCTCAAATGCAGACAATGCATCTTCCCCCGTAGGGGACCCACTTAAGATAATTCCGACCCACCGCCCGCCGGGCCCCTGAAAGCGAGGTCCGGCTTTGTCTCCATGTAAACTTGGGATGGGCCCATCAAAAGATGACTGGCCCAGTGAGGGCTTGCGATCTTGGATTATTAAATAATTTCAGGCGTTCATGATGTTGTTTGGGGTTGATGCGACCGTTGACCAAAGGCTGGACCCTAATATTAACGGTGCATGGAAAATCTTGTCCTCTCTACGCTACACGAGGATTCCTCTTGGTTCAGGCCTAGTCCCACCTTCGACCTAATGGAGAGTGCTTAGAGTTAGAGGGATTAGCTTTTGGGCCATATCTGATGTGTTAGATTCTTAAACTAGGTAAAAGTAGATCGAAATGGTGGCCATAAATTGTACTATTACCATGCTTTGAGGATCTAGAGCTATCTATCGTTTAGACCATAGACTATGGTGTTAAATCTTTCTTTCTTTCTTTCTTTCTTCTCATAGTGATCATTGGTCAATGACATTCTGCCTTAGTTTGTCCGCAACTTGAATTATTATTATTATTTATTTTTATTAAAGGTTTTTTATATTAATTTTTTAATATTTAAAAATTATATTATGCTCTAATTATATCAAATTTTATAAAA